GTATAATTGCACAGCTGAAGACTCATAAAACAGATTGTCAAAAAATTACACTTTCAAAACTGGAACAATTTGTGTCTTCAGTCCCCAAATGATTGTGTTTTAATGAGGTGATTTAACACAAGGGTAAACATTCTCCTGTCACAACTTTTATGGAATATATTGAAGGCACCACATTTGAAATGAGCATTGGAGTTTATCAGGTACAACATAAAACACTGTTTTTGTACCATTTTTATTTAATGTAGGTCAAACATAATTTACACATCACTGCTTTCTGTTTTTTATTAGCATTTCACATACTGGAATTGGATTTGTATTATTATAAACCATAATCTCAAAGTCAGATCCTAGAGGGCCAGAGCTCTGCATAGTTTTGCATTTTTCTGCTCTTACACAACTCATTGTTTGACCTCATTGTTTCGTTATACTAAATCAATGTCACTCAACTGAATCAATAAGTCACCGTTCATTCCACTCAGTAATCACTTGATCAACTGAAAATACTTTTAAAATCAAAAATCAACTAATGATTTAATATAAGAAGCACACATGGAATTACAAGTTGATAATATTGAATGATTCATGGAATTACAAGTTGATAATATTGAATTATTAATAATTAAAAACAAATCACTACACAGAATAATGGTGATGAACCATGCACTGACAAACGTTTTTGTAAAATTAAAAGTAATAATTAACATACTTTAAGTTTATAACAGAGAAATCTGACTTACTTTAAATGCATATTTCAGTGGATTCAGAGGGGTTTGATGTAATATGGTTCATTGTGTATAAACTTACAGACTTCTTTACAGCTGTGGTGACAGGAACCAGGGGTCACAAGGTCTACAAAGTAGAATATAGTCATATAATTTACAATCCAAAAATCAGTGAACACGTCTTCTGAAATTTTATAGGTAATGCTTACATAATGGTCAAACCAAATGGCTGCCTTGAACATACATGAACTGAATTAATAGACTATCCAGGATTTATACAGTCATGAACTAGATTAACTGCACATCCAGGATCAATAAAGTTTTAAATGGATTAATTGGCTAACCAATTGGCTAATCAATAGTTATGAACTACATTTATTGGCTATCAAGAATCAGTACATTCATAAATTGGGTTAACTCTTTATCCAGGATCAATACAGTCATAAACTGGATTAACTGACTATCCAGGATCAATAAGGTCATGAACTGTGTTAACTAGTTATCCAAGCTTATTACAGACAATAATATGTCTAACTATCTGACCAGGATCACTGCAGTCATAAACTGGATTAACTGGCTACCCAGGATCAATTAGGCCATGAACTCCTTTAACTAGTTATCTGAGATCAATATAGTCTATAATATGTCTAACTATCTATCTAGGATCAATACAGTCATGAACTGGATTAACTGACTATCCAGGATTGGTTTAGTCAGAAACTGGATTGACTGACTATCCAGAGTAAATACAGTCTATAACTAGGTTAACTGACTAACCAGGATGTATACCATCATGAACAGGATTAATTGACTGTCCAGGATCAATAGAGTCATCAACATCACCTGATTCAATTCAGTCAACAATAGAATTAATAGGCTATGCAGGACCAATACAGTCATGAACTGGATTAACTAACTATCCAGGGATCAACACAGTCATGAACTATATTGATTGTTTATCCAGGGATAAACACAGTCATGAACTAGATTAAGTACCTATCCAGGATCAATACAGTCAGGAACTGGATTAACTAACTATCCAGGGATGGATGCAGTCATGAACTGGCAACACTGACTATCCAGGATAAACACAGTCTTGAAATGTATTAACTGACTATCCAGGATCAATAAAGTCAAGAACTTGATTGTGTGTTCACCCAGGATCAATGCAGTCAGTAAGTGGATTAACAGGCCATCCAAGATCAATAGTCATGAACTAGATTAATTGACTACACATGGTCAGTACAGTCAGATACTGGATTTATTTTACGTTCCACAATCAAGGCAGTCTTGAACTGGATTGAATGACTATCCAGGATCAAGGTAGTCCTGAACTGGATTAAATGTTTATCCAGGATCAATGCAGTCTGTAAAACAATTAACTGGCTATCCAAGATCAATACAGTTATAAACTAGATTAATTGACTATCCATGATCAGTACAATCAGATACTGGATTTACTGATGTTCCAGGATCGATGCATTCTTGAACTGGATTGAATGACTCTCCTGGATCAATGTAGTAATGAACAGGATTGAATGACTAACCAGGATCAAGGTAGTCATGAACTGGATTAAATGTTTTTCCAGGATCAATGCAGTCTGTAATACAATTAACTGGCTATCCAAGATTAATACAGTCATGAAATAGATTAAGTGACTGTCCAGGATCAATACAGTCATTAAATGGATTAACTATCCAGGACCAATGAAGTCAGGAAGTGGATTAAGTGATTATGCAGGATCAGTGCAGTCAGATACTGAGTTTACTGAGTATCCTGGATCTAAGCAGGATTGAATGACTATCCAGGATCAATGAACAGGATTAAGTGATTATCCAAGATCAATACAGTCATGAACTAGATTAAGTTACTATCCAGGATCATTACAGTCATTAACTGGATTAACTAACTATCCACGATCAATAATGTAAGTAGTAGGATTGACAGGCTGTCAAAGATTAATACAGTCCATAGCAGGATTAATTTGCTAGATCTAAATCTCAGATTAACACAGTCATTAAAAGGAATTTCATGCAGGTTCCAGAAGAAATACAGCCATGAACAATGTCCAGTTGACTATCCAGGATCAGCAGATATTGGGCACCCAGATCAAGCTGCTCATCATGCTGTGCAAAATACTTCTAAGTTTGCTAGCATGCTAACTAGATAAGCTTTAGGTAGCTGTTAGGTATTTGTGAATGTTGTCAAACATATCCTTAAAAAAAAATCACACTTTTCTTAGTTTTACTGTTTGCTAAACACAACCTAACTAGCCATATAGCCAGTTAGCAATACTACATGGTAAGATAACTGACTAGCTTGTATGAGAGACTCAACATTATGTATCCACACTATCTGTCAGTTGACGAAATTACTAGTAAAATTTTGTACCCATTATCCTAATAATGGGTTTCATCCTAATACATTTTAGTATGGAAATAGCTCATAGACATGTAAAATGTATTTGTGGAGTTAGCTGTTGCTCTGCACGAGGAGGTGGCACTGGTAAGAATTTGAAAAACAGCAAAGACACAGGCTAATGATGTCAACAATCATTGATTGGACGATAGTGGTGTGTATCCAGGAAAGGAGAACAAATGATTATCCAGGATGAGGCACCACTTATGAAAATCACACCGTGCAAGGCTACCCACCGCATGTAAGCACGTTTTTTGTCATTGGGAAGCGATTGATTGCGGTGGAAAGAAGTTCGAACTGAAACAAACCCGATTTAAATACGTTACCACGAAAACCAAGAAAATTAAGGAGAGGAAAATCCACCTGAGGCCACTTAGTATGAACTCACATGCAAGACAACAGAAGCGTCCGTCATGACTGAAATCAGGCTGTTATTTGGAACTTTGTTTCAGCGATCAGCAGTACCTCGTTTCTGAGACAGTTGTCCTCCTCAGCTTCGTTCGTAATCGCATTCCTTCAGGTTGTAGAGGCTGAAAGAAAAATTCTGGACAAGAAGTGGTTGCAGATGCTCAGATCTAGCGCCCATTACTCACAGAGTGCTTTGTTCACATCTCTGTTTAAAAAATAGTAACAGCCTCAATAACAGCCACCTGAAATCATTGTTAGGGATTCGCACGACTGTTCATCCTTTTTTAGATGCTTTGAACAGTGTCTGCCTGATTTGGTCAAAGTGAATCCAGCTGGTTTATCCAGTACCTGTGTAATGTGCCACACAGTGGGTATAGCCTTAATTAAAAGACAATAGGCCACTATAATAATAACAATAACAAAAAAGAAGAGAAACAATTGTATTACATAATAATAATAATAATAATAATAATAATAATAATAATAATATTCTTGATAAAGCTAGATGAGCATTTTCTCTCAATAATTGGTGGGAGGTCGGTGGAAGTGAGATTATTAGTTAGTATTATTTTTCCTACCCACCAGTGACCTAATAATAAATCAGAAGACAGTTTAGGGACAATAAAAACAAGGTAAAAATGATTTCAGGTGAACTTCAAATATTTTGAAACAGTCAAATAAATTGATATCGTTTTCTGGGGCAGAGGTCAAAGTTTGAAAAAAAAAAAAACTCAATAAAACATAAAATACTCCAGTACAGTGCAGATCAAAACTTAGGCAATCAACTACTGTCCATCACTGCAGGTAACAACTCCACCAGAACCAGATAACTGAGGATGCAGGGATTTGAGGAAGATTTTCTATTTTTATTAACAATACATTTATAGTCCATTAACCAAATCTTAGGGGCATTCCAGCCTAAAACTAGCATTTAACAGGTTATTTGTTCTGTAGCATAGGATTATATCCCTCAGCTCATTGGGTTGAGAGAATTCAGGTTTTGTAGCATTTTAATGATTCTGTCCACTGTTTTTGTTTCTCTCACTACAAAGCCCTACTTGCATTATGCAAATACATAATACAATCTCTGGGAACATGTGTGGTAGGAAAAATCCAGTCAATTAGCCACTGATGTAGAGGCTAATAACACAGATGTGATATTCAGCTTCCTACCAGTAACGTAAGCTATCTGGGTGGAAACTTTCGAATCTGAAATTGCAATTCAGAGTCATTGCACACATAAGAAAAACTCAGATCTCGTTTGTGAGATACTTTTTCTTCTTTTTAAACTTCTCTGTGGATTCTGTGGTTACTCTGAGGAACTCTATGCCAATCATACTCAACTAACATCAGCTACCTACAGAGACAGTGTACACTAAAGCAGGCCCGTTAGTGGAACTGCTATGGATTATTAACAAACAATGACCTTTTCAGAGATTCACCAGGTTTGCTTGTTTTTTTGGCCATTTTTATTTCGTTCTTTATACATAGCAAAATAAGACAGGATTAAGATGAGTTTTGCATATCTTTGTCAACTGCAAGATATTTTAGATAAGACTACTGAAAGACTACATACATATGCAATAAAAAGAAAAAGCATGTGGGATAATCTCTGTTTACACAATCGTCACATTAAAATAGTTTAAAATGTACCAGGCTTTTACATAGAAGCATGAGATCAAAGAAACAAAATGTTGAGTTTGTATTAAGGGAATATTTGTGGTTTGTTTTTGTATTTTGTAAAAATGATCAAATTGTATGCCAGGCCTACTGTTAAAGACATTGTTGATAATTTAACGCACATTTCTGACATTCATGGAGGAGTTAATCAAAGTTGTCAGTTTGGTGTTCAATGACGGTAGAGTACGAGTCAGAGACCCTTCATTTGTTTAATTTCCAGTAAAAACGGCCATTACAGGCAAGACACTTTTATTTCATAGAAACCTCCAAAGTTCAGTCTTAGAAGTTGGTTTTGCATTTTCTGCTTTTTATAATCCAAGAAATTGCAAACACATTCAGTGATGCTGAGGTCTGGACTCCGGGGTAGCCAGTCTATTGTTTTTTGGCTTTCTGACATCTGCACACCTTTCAGACCCAACATGTCCATTCAGGTTCAAATATAGATAGCGTTGTCTTTTCACAGTGGAAGGATGGACAGAAACACCTGTGGATGTTTTCAGATCTGAAGCAGCTTGATTTTCTCCTCTCCCTCAAAAACGAACGCTTTATCTGTGCTCTTTATCTGATGGGGGCAGTTTCGGTGTCTACCAGGTCTTCCAGGTGGTTGTTAGGAGTCACATTTTCTCTGTAGCTTTTAACTCTAGTTTTGGAAACTCCTGATTTTCACTTATTTTCCTTTTACTGATGCAAGTGGGTTATTTTATATCTAATCCTCCTCTGAAATATTTCCTGAAAAAACAAGTTATGTTTAATGGCTTTTTTGAAAAGAAATTAAATAACCGAAGGGTGGTCTCTGATTTGTGCACAGCCTATGTCCCTCATTAGCAAGAATCAAAAAGGATGAGTTACTAAAAGGAGTCAAACTGATAAATTAATGTCTTATCATTTATTCTGATATTATGGTATGCTGGAAAAAGTATTTCATTCTGAATCCTTTAGTACTTGTACTAAAGTAAGCTGTTTTGTGATCAAAGAGGAGGAGAAATTAATGCTAGAAATTAAAGTAAACATTAAGGTACTGCCAACATCCACTCTGCTCCCTTACTCTGGAGGAACTGTGCATACTGTTTTTGTCGCCAGAGTAGTGGCGTGTGTTCATCTAAGAAATGTATGTGGCATGTAAATTTTAGTCAAATGTTGAGAGACATGTAGCCAGAAAAACACGGAAGGCGCTATGAAAAACAAATTAGCTTATCAAGCTTGTGCTTGTTTGAGCAGATGAGAGACTTATGAGTTGTTTGTAAAGCTTCGTTCAAGAATCAACCATCACAAAGATGGTTACTGTTGTATGTTCCATTTCCCATTTAAATGTGCCCTGGGTCTTAGTGTTATTCTGAACTCTGAAGCCATAATGGCATCTCCTGTGAAACCACCTGCTCTGAACACTGCATGGGATAAAAGAAGAAAAGAAAAAAACATAAAAACATTAGTTTGTAGAGTTACCAGTAAATATATTAGCTATATTATCTAATAAGGATGTCAATTTGTTGTGCTGAGAATGGCCCACCACCCCAATAATATCTGGTTAAAGGTGTTCCTATGGTGGACCCTTTCCATTGATGGACATGGTAGAGGGTGTCTGACAAACTTTTCTCAGCAGTAGATGGGCTACAGCCAGTAGCTGTGCACCAATATGGTAGCTGTATCTGACAAAATGGTAATGAGGGTAGGTACAATGTATGCACTTGCAACTACCTACTTCCATTTACTACTAGCTTGCACATTTGTTAGTGTCATGCCTTAACTGTATTTTCTATTTTCGTTTACCAGAGCAGAAACATTTAATGCAATACCATGAATCCAATGTCTGGTTCTGGATTTTGTAATTACTAGTAGTTTACTGAACAAGTGATGTAACTGATCCAATTCATCAGCTAATCATCAAGCCTTTCCTGAGCTGGATCAGGTGTGTTGGAGAAGTGAAAACTTGAGACTGTACAGAGCTTTAGGTCCCCAGGACTGGAGCTGAAAACCCCTATTCGATAACAAATTAACAAAAAGTGATTCTAAAGTCAAGACCAGAAATCTGACTCATAGTCCAGATTCCCAACTCTCCTAAACCCCTGAAACTTCCTGCTCTACTATACCCACTAGTTCATGAACTAGTAAGTTGAATTAAGTGTGTTTGAGCACGGAGGGAAGGGGGTTCTTTTGGCTCAGGGCTGGGAACCTAAGAGCTACAGTATAAAGGAGAAGCACTACATAGAGGGTCCAGACGCGCAGGAACCAGAGGATCCAGAGCAGGAGCAGACATGAACTTATAACTATTGCTAGCTAACAGTTTTACCCTGCAAGAAGTAAAGATAGTTCATATGTAATGTATTTTCTGCACACGTGATCAGATGTTTAATCCCTTAATTGGTCAGGGCCCAAAATTTTATTACACACTTCTATAACCTAAGAATAGCTCAGCCAGTTCGCACTGAAGTACCTGTAGTTACTGCATAATAAGCCTTAGTGTGTAATAGGCCTGGAATTTAAAGGGATTGACTTGAGTTTTTTGGTGGGACATCTCGTATCCATGTGCTTATGACAGGCTTGTTGTCTGCTAGACAATGTTAATGGGCACACCGTCACCCCTACTTTCAGCACCTGCTTCATGAGGCAATGGAATTGTTTAGAAATTTCACACTCATTCTGCTCCCACCTTAATAAGCCTATGAGAATTTCTCATGGTTGTCTCCAGACGTTCCTATTATAAGATCATGTCTGGCCCGCAAGAGTAGAAATTAGGAAGAAGGAACCGTTAGAACTGACAATAAGAACTGACTGAATATTCTACCCCTCATATACTTGCTCGCCAAATATTTTTATGTACCTATAAAAAATAAGAAGAAAAATAAAATCAAATTAAGCGCTTGGCTAACTTTCGAACATGACAACAGAAGTGCGAAAACAGTGGATTCTAGCCAAGAAAGAAAGTCTAAGCAGTTACATCTTTTCTGTGTAGGATAAACAGTGGAAATCGAAAAATATTGGTGTTTTTTTTTAAATGTACAGTGATGTCACAAAGAGAATGTTTAAGTGATGTAATAAAAATAAAATATAATAAAATACCACAAAGGGATTACATACGGAAACCTGTTTAGAGCCTGTTTTGTAAAAGTTAAAAATAACTCAATTTTGAGTAAAAGGTTTTGAACAACCAGCAGTTTTCTAGTCTCATGTCAGTTGTGAATGTCCAGAACAACACAGAACAGATAAATTAGTTTATAGGACTTGGGTACATCAGAACTCACGCTACACACTGCCATGCTTTCTCTCTTTTACTTTGCGTGCTCTTCGTCAAAGCTTTCCTTTTCCAACTTCCTTATTGCTTCCCTTGCATCAAAATCACAACTCCTGGCTCTCTTCTGAGTCCGGATCACACATTGCATCCTCACCCTCCAGCTCATCAGCAGGAGCAGAGGAGCAGTGCTCTAAGATATTTTTATGACACTCCTTAAATCTCCTTTTCAGAGGAACATCACTGAACGGTCTACCTATTCGTTTTCCCTCCTTTGTCGGTAGATACTTAGTGTCGATGCCGTGTTGTCGCTGCAGGTGGTTCTTCAGGCTGACGTTGTGGTTGAAACACTCTCCACACTGCTCACACATGAAGGGCTTCTCTCCTGTGTGGAGACGCATGTGGGACTTCAGGTGGCCGGCCTGGTTGAAGGAACGCTCACACACATCACACCTGTAGGGCTTTTCTCCCGAGTGGATGAGCAGGTGCCTCTCATAACTCGTCGCCTTGGAGAACTTCATGCCACATGTGCTACAAAGGTACCCTTTCTGACCACCGTGGCTTTTAAGGTGAGTGTTTCGTTCATGAAAGTCTTTAAATCTCATCGAACAGCTCGGACAGCTATACGGTAAACCTCGTGTATTGTGAACCTGCTCGTGCTGAAGCTTGGACTCTTTTGTAGTAAAGTTTATCATGCAGTACTTACAGAAATGTGTATAGTTCCCATGGAGTCTGCGATAATGGACCTTTCGACCGTTCTCTGTTAGGAAACGTTTGGAACACAGCTCACAGGAGAACACCTTTATCTTGCATTCGCACACGTGGTGCTCATCTTCCACCCTGTTTAACTTATTGCAGTCTTCACAAGTCTTGAACTCGGGCGGTTGCTCTGGTACACCATGTACAGTAATGGCATGTTTATGGAAGCTGATTCTATTTTCAAAGCGAACAGGCAAGTCCTCCAAACACTGGATCTCAACAGTGTCCTCAGAAACACACTGTGGACAGCCGTAGATCCTTTGGTGCTTCTTAATCATACAAGACGCTCCAGCATGAGCCTCACAGTGCAAACACCAAGCAAGTGGTCGCAAGGTGTTCTGAAAGGGTTTATGGGAGGTGGACTCCTCATCATTCTCATCTTCCTTACAGCTCTCCGAGCTCTGATCTGGGGAACCGGGTAAGTATTCTGGATCATCTGGGTCGGCTTGTACGCTGTCCTCCACGTCGCTTGAGGCATCATCCTCCTCAGCCTCTTCTTCGGATGAAACGTCTTCTGCTTTCTGAGAAAAACAGAAGATAAAACGTCTAGTTTGTCATTTTTTTTTTTTTGTCTTGAGTTCAAATTGCATAACGAACCACGATGCCCAACCTGTAAAACTATTTAATTCCACCCGTTCAGACATTTTTGTTGTTAAATTTGTGCAGAATACGTAACCTGCACACTGACCTGTTAGGCCAAACTACTGCACCAAACCCTAAATATGCCCTTTTTGATTGAAACTGTTAAAAACTAAAAACTTGTGCTACAAGGCTAATATAGCTAAAAATAATGTCCCTCACAATGTTTTTCTGTTGCAAACTTTGATTATATCAGCATCATAGTTTCAGAATAGAACTAAAGGAGCACAGTTTGGAGACTAAACGTGTCGTGGTTGATTGATTATGTTTTGGGGTAATAAAATTTGTAATTAAATTTGATTTTTCAACAATGAACAATTTCTCCAAGTCTTGCCCCTCCTCATTTTCCCTACATTCCATCTTTGGTAAAATAATGTCAGTGCCACATAGTACATATTACTAAGCAGGGTGCATGCATTTGGTAGCATTCAGCCTAAGTAAACCTGGAAGACAATATCAACCATTTGTTTCATAGGCTGGAGGGAAATGTGTTTTATAGTAGCATTTCATTTTCCTCTTCAAAATCCTCCAGCTTTATCTCATTTCAGTCATCCTACACTCTTAAAAATGATGGTTCTTTAAGGGCTCATTTAGAAAATGATTCTATATAGAACCATGAACACTAAGAACCCTTGGCATAATTAAAGGATTCTTTGCATCATGAAAGGGCTCCTCAGATTGATGGAGAATGTGCTGTAGATGGTTTTATATAGAACCTTTATGAAAAGGTAAGAGGCTTGACATTGTAATAATAGAAGAACACTTTTGGGTGCTATAGAACCATGTAGAGCATATTCTCCATCAATCTGAAAAACACTTTCATGATGCAAAGAACCCTTTAATCATGCAAAGGGTTCCTTGCGTGTTCATGGTTCCATATATAAACATTTTCTTTACTAAAGAACCCTTGAAGAATCAAGAAGAGAGAGTGTAAGAGTGTTTAAGAGTGTAGTTTAGTCAAACATAACTCTATATTAATCAGTCATACCCACTTTACTTACCACCACTATCTCCACTGGAGAATGCTCTTCGGGGCTCAGTGGGGATACGGCTGTCTCAATAAGCTGAGGAGGTGTAGATGGGGATTCATCATAGAACACTGCTGCAGGTTGATCGTCTTTCGTGTGGGTTGATGCCAGCTCACTAAAGTGCGGGCTCACCTGCCTGTTTGTGCCAACACCAGTCTCTCTGGTCTTAGGAGCAACCAAAACACCTATACAAGGGGAAGCAGGTCAGTTTGTGAGATTGCTATGCATAAATTACTAAGAATTAGACTAAATATGTTTAAGACAAAGAACAGTGTTTGTCCTGCTGACCCTGGCTTCGTTTGTGTATCAGCGTGCTGGCCGACAGCTGTGTTCCTACAGTCCTAACAAGCTTCGGCACGGGATCACACTGCAGCCCAACGTCACGTGTTCGTGGTGATTCACTTTGAGAGCCGTCATTCAGCCAGAAAGAGTCGTCATCCTTCATTAGAGACATAACAACATTAACAGACAGGCCTGCTGTCTGTCATGTGGATGTTTCACTAATTTTCATAGGAATTAGAATTTTTTTCAGTTTTTGGTCAATTAAGTGACCCTTATTAGTCCCACAACGGGGAAACTTCACCTCCGCATTTAACCCATCCATGCAGTGAAACATCACATGCACACTAGTGAACACACACACTAGGGGGCAGTGAGCACACTTGCCTAGAGCGGTGGGCAGCCCTATCCGTAGCACCCGGGGGGCAGTTGGGGGTTAGGTGCCTTGCTCAGGGGCACTTTAGTCACGTACTGTCGGCTACGGGGATTGAATTGGCGACCTTGCAGTCACAGGGCTGGTTGCCTAACCTCCAGCCCACAATATTAGTGATGCTGTGTTTTGTATATTTTTATTATTTTATGGATATGAGATATATAGAGTGGGTAATGAAACTATGCATTGCTGGCAACATCCAGGTAGTAAAACTGATTTAGTTAACGCTTATCTCTCTCTGGAAAAACACAGGAAACAAACCCCTCACAGCTAGTAAAGGCTGATGCATACTTCAGCAAAGACACACGTAAATGTATTTATGTTGAGACACGCAAGAGATTCATGGGTGAGTGGAGCTCACACACCTCCAAAATATCAACAATGCTTTGTGCATATCTGCAGAGTTGTGCATCAAGCAAATTCTGAATGGCTATTCAGTAGTGTTGGGGTGGGATGAGACCCAAACAATACTCCATCCAAACTAGAACTAGTGCAAAATCAAAGGCATTATGGTTTACGTTACACACACCTTACAACACACAGTAGAAGTTCTTGTTTAACCTAGAGATGGCACAGTACTACTTTTTCTCTTCTGATACTGAAATTGAAACCTTAAGTACTGACCGATACCGATATTGAAATCTTGAGTACTAACCATTAAGGACATTGAAATATTGAGTACTGGCCAACACGGATACTGACATCTTGAGTACTGGCTGATACGGATATTGAAATCTTGAGTACTGACCAATGCGGATGTTAAAACCTTAAGCACTGGCCGAGACCAATATTTAAACTTTGAGTGTACTGATTTTTTTTAAAAAACTACTACGCTTAAAAATGAGCTATTTTTAAATTGAGGCACTTCAATAAGCGTCTATAAGTAGACTATCATGCTGAAACTACTTAAACACTCTATTAACCCCACAGGAATAACTACACAGCTAACATCACATTGCACAGTATGAGTAAGTGCTGTTTCACGACACATTTGTTACAGGACTGAATCACATTTATTTGTTCTTTCCTTCCCGTATCCCATCCAGCATTTTCTACTGAAATCAGCCTGATAGCGATGCCCATCAGTGCTGATATGCCATCTCTAGATTAATCTACGTCTGTAATTTTGTAAAATAACAGAGTTTATTTACCATCATGAGTTGAGCTGAACTAATGGACTTAATGTACTTAAGGAGGTTCAATAATTATAAAGGATTTGACTAAGCAACTCATACAGGATAGAGTATCTGTGTAATTTCCCCAGTAGTCATAACTGAAAGGTTACAGCCCAAACATTCACATCAGCATCACACAACAGCTGGCACACTTAATTACAAAAACACAGTGTGTCATGCATTCGGCTCCCTCTATGGAGGAAACGGACATCATCTCCCAGAATTCTCTGGGAGATCATGTGACTGAGCAGCCGCACTCGGAATCCGACTCTGACGAGAACTCCATTTCCCAGGATACTATGGAGTCTCATGTGACTTCAGACTCTCACAGGCGCTCCTATCAGCGCTCACAATCCCCTGAGTTTTGACTGCTTGCACCTGTGTTGATGATCATATGACAGGTAGTTTAGAGTAGATAAGCCCGGGCTTTAGTTAGAATCACTGCGAGGTATTGTTTCTCCGAGACTACTGAGCGTTTTTCATCCTGTTCTGATTGTTTACCGTGTTTGAACTTTTTGCTTCGTTTGACTCCGTTTTTGCCTATTGCCTATTCCTTTGGTACTTTCGCTTGTGTGTATGATCTGTGTTTTGACTTTTGGACTGTTTTTTGACTACGATCTCTGTTTTTCCCCTTTTGACTACGGCCGCTTGGTTTATATTAAACCACCTGCACTCACCATCCACACACGTCTGGTTTTCTGTCCGAGCGTTACACAGTGCATGGCTGCATCTACTACCAACTTCAGTTATCACATTACTCAGAGGACGATTTGAACATGACTGTCACAAAAGGAGCTCCGTATTTATTAGGGGTGGGGAAAAAATCAGTTCTTAGATGCATCGCGATGCGGACGTGAACGATTCTGAATCGATTCACAAAAGTCAAAAATCGATTTTCTAAATATTTATTTTATAACATAATGTTGACGGAACGCAACAGGCGGAACTTGGAAGTGGGTAAGGGCAGCGCCCGGACAGTCTGTGGCAGCACATAACAAAAACACCACTTGATGAGTGAGAAATCCGACCGGCTCCCTCTGCGTTAAAGCCAGGTCAGGTCAGGAGTCACAACCCAAATGATAAGAAGAGCCATTTTTTCCTTTGAACAAAAATCAAACCACCTTGGAAGCCACAACATTTCATGTCCAGTATGTCTCAGTGTGTGCTGATGTTCTAGTAGAGGCTAAACAATGTAAACGAAAACACAGATTTACTTTACTCTGCTTTAAGCTTTAACTACAGCCGCTTTTCTTCCATCTTAAAAATTCCTCAGAAGTAGATCAGTTTCTTGTTAAAAGTCTCTCAATGTTCGACTGTTTTACGAGGCTGAAGTCGCTTCTTATTCTCCAGCTTCTTGTTCGAATGTACCCGTTCCACCTTAAATTCTAACTGAGGCACCGAATGTAAATGCGGCATCATTAAGGTGGTACGGGAGAATTCGAAAGAGAAGCTGACTAAAGGCTTCGCAACTATTTAGTGTTTGACAGTCTCTCGTTGCAGATTTAACGGACCAGGAAATCAACTGCAGTGCATAAAAATGCGAATAACGCGAAGTTATAACATCACTAAAGAAAACGGGTAGAATAGCTGTAACGTGCTGCGTGGTCATCTATTGCCACTGGATCTTTCAACTGCGCATTTTATCGCAGATTTTGAATTTTGAGTGTAAGTGTAAATGGCAGTGTAAATGGCAGCTGGTGCTTAAAAAAATAAAAAACAGAAAAATGTGAGGTTTTATTCCGAGTACTATTACCTTCAATACTGCAACAACATTGTTTTCATAGTGTGAACGCATCATTCACATGAACCTCCTGCCTGCACTTCTACACTTGTCTGTTCAAACATTTTCAAGATTTTCTGCATTCAACTGTTCATATAGACTTATTAAAGTATTAAGTGGCAAATCATTTATTACATTAATTACCTTTGACATCACCAAATAGCATAATTTTAGAGTTTCTCACATCTCAAATCTATGCAACCATGAAATTTCAAGTGACACTGTTTTTGTTAAGCAGTCCTATTGTTATTGTTGTTGTATTTATTAGAACAAAGGAAAATTTTAAAACGTAAGATGTTAAACCTGTCACTCAGTAGAAGTATTACTGATAATAATATAGTAATAATATCAATACCTACCTCACATTTAAGTACAAGGATGGACTGGCCATCGGGACTACCAGAATTCCCAGCGGCCCGCTCCATTTGTCGGCCGTACTGTCGGTCCACAAACAGAGAGAGCGAGAGAGAGAGAGAGAAAGAGAAAGAGAGACTGTGTGAGTGGCCCACTAAAACCGCGTCCTCAAGGCATCGGCCCAATATTTGGATCAGACTATAAAACACCCCCCACCCCAGTAAAATCCAACCGAACCTAAACAGAGAAGATGAAACTGACGAGAAAAGAACAAAAGCGCCCCTTTGACAAAACAGGAAAGTGGTCGGGGGCTGAAAAATCGCTGCAAACTACAGCAAGGCACTAACTATTCCCACGAGACACGTAAATGACCTTTTTAAAATGTGGGGTGCTGCCTACATTTACTGTAACAAATGTAGCTGCCATTTTCCTCTTCCAATAGAAGCATGACGCAGCGGAGCCATTTTACAGCTCTGCTCGGTGGCCTTGGTACAGAAAACGTGAGGTGGAGAACAGTAACGTACTCGGTAACAACCTAATCTCACGCTGTCTGAAAAACATACGACTTTGACAGAGCACTGTTATTACGATTCTTGTTAGTATCACTAAATGTCACTGTAACTAAAAGGAAGTACCATCCAGTTCTATCATTAACTGTGTTTCATGCAGGATTTCCTCTTATAAGGACAGCTGTTTTGAGGCCCTCTGCTTGGCAAATTAGGCATTAACAACCTCCAGGCCACTTGGCGGCTTAATAACGAGATCCATTACCACAATGTGGCACGTACCATTATTAACAGTTAATGCTACATTTATGTTTTTTTGAGCTCTGAAAGTCTCAATCCAAGGTGTCTGACAGAAGTCAGAATGCCACAGCTGCCTCAGGTATGCTGGTCCAAACTTTACACACAAAAAGGTCTAATTAGCTCAAAAATATGTTGTGCCAGTTTGATGAACAGGATTAGAAATTTGTAAAACTTGACTTCTGTCTTCATTTGTGGACATCATACAACAACAGACTTAGCTGCATAAAATATGACCTGTAGACCACAGGAATAAAGTCTGTAGTTCTTATTAAATAAAATAATAATAATAATAATGTTTTACCTCTTATTGGCTAAACAGATAAATATAGGAAGGACAACGTTTAAACATACACATGCATATAGGGAGTAAAATATATTCCCACTTCCTTACAAGGGTAAGGTGGTGGGATGTGGTGGGACATTGATGTGACAAAATAAGACATAAGATGAGACAGAATGGGACAGGGGGACAGAATGAGGCATAAAACAGGACCTGATGGAACAGAGTGATAAAAGTGGGACATTAGGCAGGACAGGATGGGACAGAGTGAACCAAAATGGGACATAAGGCAGGATGGGATGGGATGGAGTGAACCAAAATGAGACATAAGGCAGGACAGGATGGGATGGAGTGAACCAAAATGGGACATAAGGCAGGACAGGATGGGATGGAGTGAACCGAAGTGGGACACAAGGCGGGACAGGATGGGATGGAGTGAACCAAAATGGGACATAAGGCGGGACAGGATGGGACGGAGTGAACCGAAGTGGGACATAAGGCGGGACAGGATGGGACGGAGTGAACCGAAGTGGGACATAAGGCGGGACAGGATGAGATGGAGTGAACCGAAGTGGGACATAAGGCGGGACAGGATGGGACGGAGTGAACCGAAGTGGGACATAAGGCGGGACAGGATGGGACAGAGTGAACCGAAGTGGGACATAATGCAGGACAGGATAGGACGGAGTGATCAAGATGAAATGGAATGAAGCGATGTGGGATATGAGGTGGGACAGAATGGAACAGGGTGGGACATCATAATATATACAAAACATTGGAAGGGGTGGTAAGGAGTGGACATCAGTTGAGACGGGATGGGACAGAGAGAAGGGCAGTGATGCTTAGAAACACATTGTAAATCAATTTTGCTCTACACCCTTGTTTCATCGCTTTAATGCACGGTGTCTACAACTTTTTAATAAAACTGATATTTCCAAACAACAATTAAATCACATGTTCATGCGTAAACCTTTTTTTTTTTAACTCTGGACATATTTTTAAACAATTTATCCATGAAGAGGTTAACTAAGCATGCTAATTCTGTTATGATACAGCCCAGCCTCAACCAACACAAGCTGGCTGTGACTCAAAGTCAACAATCTGGCCAGTACAGTAAACATAACAGCTAACAGTAAACAGCTGCTAGCTAAACTAGTCCAAGCTCGAAAAACAAAACAGGTGTCTAATCAGCAGGTTAGCTAACGTTACCCTCTGAAAATATGACAGTTACATGAGTCTAAAATGGCCTGGCATTATCATTTCACACATATTTAACCCTATTGCGGACAAAATGATGAGTTTACTGAGGGACGACGCCAGCCACAGCAAAACAAAACAACATCCTAAACAACGTTAACTCAAATAACGGTTATACGCCGAATCGTTCCCTCGTAAAATAATATTAATAATGAGACGAAAATATCCTTAGAAAATTAAAATAGGGTTGAAAATAAGATTCATAAAGGGTTTTTGACAGACGAGGCTGAGGCTGGCTACCTATTCGCCAGCTTCTTGTTCGAATTTCCCCGTTCCACCTTAAAAGAGTGCAGCAGCTCCAGCACCAGCCTCAGGAGCCAGAATGTAACTGATGCACCATTTAAGGTGGAACGGAAACATTCGAACAAGAAGCTTCGTTTTTTGACAGGCGGACGGAGCGAAAACAATTCAGTTATAAAAGTGTAATAAAGCCGTATTATGTTGGAATAGAGGGAAAACACACACCGGCTGACACACTTACATGTTGCGGCTTTGAGACGGAGGTTAACAGATCTGGAATCGCCCCCTCTTTCAGCAGCAACTTTTTGGCAAACCCCGCATTGTATTGTTCCTGGTTGAGAAAGCAGTCGGCGCTGAAGTGAGCCGAGCAGATGGTCAGGTTGGGGCTGAAACTCTGCGGAATCTCCTCGAAGATGAACTTCAGCCACTCGTCTCTGATGGTCGGGTGTTTGGGGAGAGTATGTAAGGAGACATTCTCCTGCCTACAGCCCACGACGCTGCAGCGTTTCGAGGTTTTCCCCCACATCTCTGCGCTCCGGGGTTCTGCCACAAACAGAACCCAAACAAATCGTGCAACCCGAGGACCCTTCTTCGGTAGCTGGGGAGTCCGCCTGATGTAAAACCACACTTTGAACAGCAGCACAGCTGGACTTGATGAAAACAAACCACTGTCAGTAATATTTATATTCCAACTGCCATTTCACTTAGGACTGAACTGAAATAGTTATCGATTAGAGGATATGGATTGGACTAAAGGCACATTTTTAACATTTGAAGGTAAAAAAGGCGTGGCTCTCAGGTCTTCACACATGCATCTGTTTACTTACGGCAGGGCGCCCAGCCACTTGACCACGCCCCTTTGGCGGCAAATTTTAGCGCCGAATTCAAAACAGTGTATAAAGGAGAAAAAATAGCAACAAAAAATGTTTTTTTTTAAATCATTCTCTGTTTCTGGCAGCCATACGTAAATATTTGATATAGCATCAGATAAATTACCTACTCAACATTTTGATTTGTTTTCCTGAGACTTTGCTATTGAAAGTGCCCATATAATGCAAAGCACAATTTTCCTTGTTTGTTTAATTTTTTAATGAATAAAATAAAATAGTGTGATGTAGTATAACACTGTCAAAGTTTCAAAATGTAACATTCACTCTCCAATAAACACCATAGTGTTACATTAGAATACTACATTTACTACTATAGACAACACTATAATACTGTATCATTACTGTGTTACTGCTGCTGCATAAACTCAAACTAATTAACCATTGCTCTGCCTGTTTTGTATTTTAATATTGTATACTAATGCTATCTGGTGTGGACCAGAGGAGGATGGGTTCCCCTTCTGAGTCTTGGTTCCTCTCAGTGTTTCTTCCTCTTGCTCTAAGGGAGTGTTTCCTTGCCACTGTCACCATTGGCGATGTTCATGGGGGCTCGGACCCGTATTTTTCTGTAAAGCTGCTCTGTGACAACACCTGTTGTGGGAGGCGTGGCCATGCAGAGAGGCCACACGCACAGGCCCTTGGGAGGTGCCACACTTGCGCTATGCTCACTGTAGGAGAGACTTTTATTGTATAAAAAGTAGTGTGTGATAGCTTGATGATGTGGACGTGTTATTTGTGCTATTCTGTGCTGGGTGCTGTGCTGTGGGGTAGTTAGTGCAGTTTTAGTGCCTACTGTCAGGGAAAAGCGTATGGCTAGAAGTGACCTGCCTCCTATCTCAACTGCTTCAGCACCGCTGACCGGTAGTTCTCCCTTGCTACCTGTTTCAATAAAAGAGCATTTGCCTTTAAAGCGCACCGCTTCCTGTGTCTTATTCTACACTGATGCCACAATATAATATAGACAGACTATTAAACACTATAGCATTACATTACAATATTTTAGAGTTCTACACTGTACTATAGACAACACATATAAAATATGATAGACATTAAACTAAATACTATAGCAATACATTAGAATATAGAGTACTATGCATTAGTACAAACAACACCATAATATACTATAAACACCATAGTAAACACTATTATGTTACATTAGAACACTATTGTGTACTAAACCTGACTTTAACAGACTATAAACACTATAGTAAACACTACAGCATTACATTAGAATACTGTGTGTACTACACTTTACTATAGACAACACTTCAATATACTATAAACACGATAGTAAACACTATAGTGTTACGTTAGAATACTATGTTGTACTACACTTTACTATGAAAAACACTAACATACTATAAACATTATAATAAACTCTATAGTCTTAGGTTACAAAACTATAGTGCGCTACGCTTTACTATAGACAACACTTCAATATACTATAAACACTATAGTGAACACGACAAGTCTTACATTACAATACTATAGTGTACTACACTTTACTATAGACAACTCTACAATATACTATAGACACTATAGTAAACACTATACTACTCTTTATTCTATTAAACACTAGTGTAATCCTCTCTAGAGAACACACTTCTGCACATTTTAATTCAACTATTACTCTTTATTTGCTTAATTAAGCATATTAAGAAAAAAATAAAACATAAAAATGTGGCCTGTGCAAAAGTTATGGCACATTTTATATGTTATATTTTTCTAATATATTTAACTCAGCCAGTAAATAGCAATTTTGCACTAAAACTAGCAGAAACAATGCCATATCTAAGTTTGCTCCCTGTAGAGGACGTGTTCTTGTATTCTCACTTAAAAAACTGAACGAAATGTAATTCGACTGGGGGTGTTCAGGTTTTTGCACACGACTATATAGTACCCCTGCTGAAGAGCTCAGCACAGAGCAGCATGCATTCCAGGCTGATTTAAGCTGGTCTGGTGCTGGTTTAGGTGGTCACTCAGTATGGTCATGCTGGTTGATCAGCAAACCAGCAACTAAAATATGCTGCTTTTGCTGGTAACCCACCCATGCTAATCTGGGACAATATTGGAATACTATAGCATAGTGTTTCTCAACCCTGGTCCCAGAGGCCAACTGTCCTGTGCTTTTTAGTGCTTTTTCAGCTTTAACACAGCCACTTTAACACAGTAATGGGCTATAGACACTATATTAATGTAGCGTAACATCAGAAAACTCTAAAGTACTGCACTTTACTATAGAAAACATTATAATATACAGCGTTACATTAGAATACTATAGTGTACTACACTTAACTGTAGACAACACCATAATATACTACAGATACTATGGGAAATACTATGGGATAACAGTTAATTAACAGTTAAATAAATAAAGTGTTTAATATGTTTTAATGTTCGCAGTTCCTTCACCAAATTATAGCTCCTTAACAAGCAGCTTGTTGTTACGTCAGAGTAACGAGCTCCGCCCACTCGCTGCACAGCCGGCAGTTCGTTCTCCAGCTCCTCACACTAAACTCCCAAACTGTCATCACCACTGAGCAGCTTTTCAGTCGGCAGCTGTGAAAGAAGAACCTAAACTACCTGGAATCAGCCAGAAATGAACCCAATACCATTCGCCAAACGTGTAGTCTGATCTTCAGAGCCTGAACAAATCAGACTGAGCCATAAAAATACCGCAATATCAAGTTTAGCTCAGTTTTGTCAGTTTTTGCCAGATCAGTATTAATGTTGTTTTGTTCCAGCCAGTCTGTAAAGCATCTTACAGCCCATTTAGTTCGGCGAATGGCGTTGGGTTCATTTCTGGCTGATTCCAGGTTGTTTAGCTGTTCTTCCGTCTCAGCTGCTGACTGAAAAGCTGCTCAGTGGTGATGACAGTTTTAGTGTCGTCTCATCTTCAGAGTCTGACCAAATCGGCTGTCGGTCCAATGTGACCTTAAAAGTGTGCATTTTCTGTTTGTGGTAAAAAGTAAGAAGTAAAAATGTTCAAATAGCTTGAGCGTCTCCTACAGCTGTCAAAGTCGCTGCTTAGCAACAGCTTCTCAGCGGAGTGATACAGTGTTTGTGAAAAAGCCGTGATGTTATGGTGAAATAACACCAATAACCAATCAGCTTGTGTGGCCGGAACTAAATGTTGTATAAAGGAAGACAATAAAGTGCTATTGGTTCCACCAAGAAACATATGGATGGCGTGAATACAGACTTATTTTTAGTATTTAATATTATTTACAGCGTGAAGTGCTGCGGCTGCTGCTGGTGTTGTAGTAGCGCATCAATCCAGTTGGGGGAGCTGCGCGTGTAAGAATCACCAGAAACACGACGAAGAAATACTGTTAGTGTTTTGCCTGATTTCTCTCTGGTTGTTGAGATTAATGTGAGGATCTTTGGCGGCTTTTAATGGCTGAAACAAACTCTTGGCTGTTTAAGGTCTTCATTACCAACAGAGGGACGTCTAACCGATGTTACAGTGAAGAAGACGGATGTTGGTGGTCCTGAGTGGAGACGTTTGAAGGATAAAGACTGAAACCGCATCAGCACCATCATCATCACCGGCCTGGCTTTGTGTTCATATGGAGGAGCTGAGGAGGGACTTTGGGGTTTAGGACAGATTCTGATGGGACTCTGTATCTGCTGGACCGGCAAAAGCTTCAGCTGGTTAGTCAGCTGTGCATAAATAAAGGCCTCTGTTTAGATTTCATTAGTTTAATGCAGATGTAGTGAATCTCAGTAGTGAGTCTGCTGCCCATATTGACACTGGAGTAACGCAGGTGAGCTGTGTTCACCTTTAAATTATGATTTTTTAAAATGGGGATGTTCGATAATATCAGAATCATATCAGTGTGGGCAGATAATCCGACAGAGTTTTAGTTTTGACTGATATTTCAAATATGGAAGAGCAGAATGTGTAAATAACCCTGAATTACTGTGCTGAAATATATGCATTTTGCTGCCTAGAAACAAATTTTAAATATATTTGTATTGCTGATACAAGTAGATCAACTCCTAATTTCCACATTTTATAAATGTAGATATATTGGAATATATAAAAGTAAACATATAGGCAGACATGTACATATAAGATATCAGCACGGCATCTCCAGTTTAAAACAATCCGTTTTAATAGTAAATAAGTGAGACCATGTCTGATTAACACGTTAAATTCAACCACAATTCACAATTTTTACTCGGTCATGTTAAGCAAGCTTCAATATTTCATATGATTTAAGAGTCTGAGTTCTTGTTAGTTAAAATGTATTGACTTTTGCCGGCCTCTAAAACATCCTCTGATTTTTGATTACATCACCGTGCACCAGCAGGCAGAGAAACTAATATTACACAATATCATTAACCCCTCCTCCTCTGCCACGCCCACCAATCATCCAGCGAAAAGCGCTGAGCTATAGATCGCGATCACACCAGCTACTCTAGAAAGCATCAGCATGGGCAGAAGGTGCGTATTCGGATGCTCGCTGCCAAAACCCTTGTTCCCGTTCCCCAAAACGCCGTGGTTGAGGGCCCGGTGGCTGGAGTTTGTCCATTTTGAAGAGGGTGGGATAGTGGAGAATTCCAGATTATGTTCGAGGCATTTCACCTCAGACTGCTTCAGAAATTTGATTCAGCACGAAATGGGATTCACCGACACTCTGTTGTTGACGGACACGGCTGTCCCATCAGTGTACACAGTCGGTGCCTCACCTGCTCAGAA